AACTTTTGAATTCCATTATAATGTCATCATCCATTGCACTTAGCATTGTGATATGTGCTAAGGAATTCTTTGTTTTAATAAGCTACATAAGCATCATGGCTCCGCCTATCCTGGGTCGTGTTGCCTTCTTCAGGTTGTTCCATATTTTCATTCAAATGTTCAAGAGCCTCTTCCTCTTCCAGCACATATTGAATTTTGACACCTCATCTCTCATAGTTATCACCATTCAACTTGGTTCCTTTGTTAAGTTCAGCAACTATACTCTTCGTAGTAGATGTCATTTGAATAGACACAAAATCTATATGTTTTGACTATATATACACGCTCTTATTAATGTTTGATACATACATGAAAGAATATTATTTTCACACTCAATTGCACATACTGATAATAACTCACTTCATACTTAGAGTCAAAAGGTCTATGTTTCCAATCATCATATAACATGAGATAATATCAATATTGCAAATGTAGTAAAAATAATAATTAATGAGTAAATAGCAATCATCCTAACCAAGTTCCATTGCAAATCACAAATAGACTAATTCTAATTTCATATTTCCAAAGAAATATGATAAAGTCATTCACAAAGAATCAATTATTAGAGAAATATTCCTAATAGGAATAGACTCATCTAAAATCCTCGAAATGTTGCTTAGCAGTTTCTTTAATTGTTGGGCCCATGGCCTCGACCTTATAGCAGCCTTGCTACTAAGCTCCAGGCCAAGGTATGCCCATCTTGTAGATTCTAGTCATGAAGCTCCAAATAAATACAGAACATGACCATTTGCCATTTCTGCGCTCCCATAGATTCGATAACGCTCCAGCTAAAATGCGATGATCATATATGAAACTTAGCATAATTAAATAAAGACTTCTTTCTGTCTTTAAGTTGATTCTCCATATAATATCTTGACAGACTTTGTGGACCCGTACCATATGGGGTATCAGAATTTTTAGGTCATGAGGATTAGAAACTGGGCTTAATCGAATTTCATATGCTTCCCTTTCCATTTCGGCTAGAAGCTATTTTTGCTCAGAAGTCCTTGCCACCTTTGAAGTCTTATACATTCTCACCATAAATTTCTATAACACATTATAGAAAATTATCAAATAAATCAAGTATATTATACACATATGCATAATTATTGATTTAACAAAAATATATAACACTCCTGATATAGGCATTGGACGTATCCCAAAAAAAAAAAAATCCTATGAATTTTTTTTTTTATGTATGGTCTAAAATATTTTTCTCAATCTTCTTAAACAAATGGAGAAAAAAAAGTTTATGTATTAACCAAAAAAAAATTGTTAACTATTTTTTATAATTCCCAAATAAGGATCAAAATAAAAGAAAAAATATTTCGAAGATCTTCAAAAAAAATTTATTAGCCATAGCCAATCAAGAGCAGCCTCATAGCAGTTTCTCCCATGAGGCAGAACCCTTTTGCTAAGCCTAAAAAAATAAAGATGTACCTCAGAGTTTGATTCCTTTAACCAAACTATTCGATTGGGGTTTTTGGGGTCCTAATTTGATTAGTTAGCAAGTTTTTTTGAATTAAACAAATTAATTCAATTTCTAAACATATAAGAAATAACAAACAAAAAAATAATAAGAAAAACTGTCACATATTTTCATGGCCATACATATTTAAATAATAATAAGAAAAATTTAAATACTACCATTAAAAATAATTTTAACAATATATATAAACATATTATATAATTAATGAGTTAAGTGGCATTATTGCAGTTATTCAGAATTCTGCCCAATAGCAGAATAGGAAATAAATAATGAATATTGATTAATGACATATCTGAAAAAAAAGAGAGAATCTGCCGCCTCAATGGTAGATTCGTAAATATGAATAAGAGATACAAAACCTAAATCCCTTTTCCATACCCTACTGCAGTAAATCTTAACCCAAAAATAAATTATTTTATTAAATTTGATTAATAAATGATGTAAAAATTTGAAAAAAAAAAAAAAACAAGTAAGGTAACCAGTACTAAGCCATTGCACACAGCAACACAGTTCTACTTAATTCCTTTTCCTTTTTTTATTAATTAAAAAAAAAAAAAAAAAGAAGTAACAATCTGCCTTGTCAGGTTACTAACACCAAAAACAGTGACTTTATGGTTATTGGTCGTGTACCAGCAAACCAAAAAAATGCCTTTTTTTGAAAATAATTCATATACTCAAGAAGTAAGGCATGGTTAAAAAAAAAGAGAGAGAGTGAAACAGATCCAATACAAGGTAAATCTCATGAGTCACCAAAAAAGCACCTCAACAGTGTTTGTTCATGTCTCCTTTTTTTAATTCATAAATTAATTTAAACACATTTGAATTAATCAGAAACAAAATAAATAAAATACAGATCTAGATTTTTTTTTTTTTTGACAGAATATGCACTTCAAAAAATAATAATCTTTACAATTAATCTAAACATATTTAAGCTTAAATATGCCCAAGATCAACTCAAACTTTCAAATATATGTACAAACTAGAACACAATGGCATCAATGCTCTAATAACAATGTTAATAAAACAAGAGATCATATACCGATACATGATATGTAAAGTCGGTGGGTTGAATACTTATCTCTTGTAGCACAGCGGACTAACAACCTCTAGTCTTGCGTTACTAGTTTGCTGATAGTAGGGAGAAGTCAGGTTTTCTAGAGAGGTTTTTTTTTGGCTGCTTTTGTATTTTTTTTTTTTTTAAGAAAAACGTGTTCTACTTTTTTTTTTTAAAATTTAGTTGGATCACGGAAGATTGAAGGAATCCAACTAAAACACAAATTCTCTAAAATATATATTCAATTAGGATATTTAAACTTATTCAAATACTCAAGATAATAACTAGAAATATTTAATTATTATCACATTTTATTAATGGAGCTGGATTAAAAAGGCTAGTCATGGGCGCACCCATACCCGTCCATTAATTCCAACAACTTATTTCTCTAATAACTCAAATCGTGGCAGACTTGGTCCTTGTAAGATATGTGAATATAGAAATCATACAGCCATGACTTGTACGAGACGTTACTCACGAGATGGCAATAATCAGAATTTTAGCAATTGAACCTCATATAAAAATACGTCTTCTCATGCTATTGGCAATACGTCTTCTCATGCTTTGAGTGCTGCCAATGAATACACAGGGGCTGATGAGCTCTTTGTTGACAATGGTCAAGGTTTTCCTATTTCTCACATTGGTGATATTACTCTTGTTTCTTCTAATGGTAACTTTTGCTTGAAAGATATTTTTGGAACCGTTCCAAATATTCAGAAGCATCTTTTAACTGTTCAAAAATTCACAACAGATAATAATTATTTTTTTTGAATTTTGTCCTAAATATTTCTTAATTAAAGACCAACAAACTCAGAAAATTTTGAGGCACGGCCCAAAGTGAGGATAGAGTCTACACCTTTGTCCAATTTCAAAGCGTGCCTACAACACCATTGTTGCTCCAACTATTGATGACTGGCATTGTCGATTGGATCATCCCAATATTCAAAAATTATCTTCTTTAGTTAAGAATAAAAATATTTTAGTTCTCAATTCCACTCTTAGTCTTTGTACTAGTTGTCGTCTAGAGAAATAATCTCGTTTGTCTTTGGCTTCTATTGAGCACACTAGTAAAAAACCTTTTGATATTATTTTTTTCAAATGTTTGGGGTCTACACCAGTTCAATCAAGTTTAGGTCATATGTACTTTGTAATCTTTGTTCATGATTTCATCATATTTACATGGATATATTTTCTAGAAAAATAAAAGTGCGGTCTATGCTACATTTTTGCTCTTTGAAAAACTAATTGAACAGTTCCATGCAAAAATTCAGGCCTTTCATTCAGATTGGGGTGGGGAGTATCAAAAGTTACATTCAAATTTTAAAACTCAAGGTATTCAACATCAAATAGCTTGTCCATATATTCATGAGCAAAATGGCACCGCTGAGCGTAAAATTCGACATCTTGTTGATATATTACTAACTCTTTTGGCACGTACAGTTTCAATTGATAATATCATAATATAACATCAAACACTAAACTCTAATTCTGATATACAAAAAGGAAAAAAGGAAAAAAAAAATTCCTAAAATACATCTTTGACCAAGTACTTATAACACTAATGTACCATAAGCACAGTAGCAGATTACAAAGGAAAACCTAATCTCATGAACTAAAAGCATTAATCAAATCTTAAAATATTATTAGCATTCTATGGTTTCAAAAGAGATTTTCTCAACCATAAAATTCATATTATTTTTTAAATTGGGGTTGAAAGTTGGGCAATTTAGTTGTTTTGATTAAAAAATTAAGATTTTGGATTTAGAAATAAAAAGGCTCAAAAACTAAAAAAATCAGTAGGCTGAATTTTTAAGAGGCCTATATTTTGAGAAAAATCCAGAATTTGAATCGAACCACACTAATTACTGATTTGCTTCACCAATTTTCATCTGGTTTATACTGGCTTTTAAAGCTACCGATTTTATTATCCAACCCGGATCATACCATAGTCCGGTCTCTAGTTGAACTTGCCGGACCAATCAGGTTTTAGAATAATGATTTCTAATTAAGAAATTACATAAAACTTTATGGGATTCATTTCACCTGATTTTATTACATAATTTTTCAGCAAATTTTATCACATAAAATTAATTTAACTTTAACAAAAGCTAATTGTTGCCGAATCTTTTTAATAGATTTCAGTGATCAAGTTTTTGTACCTATGGTTAAAAGTTACATGCCTAATCTAAGCCATTTTTTATTGAAATATTTGTTATAAATCCAACCATAATTAGAAAGCTACATAATGCATTTGCTAATCCTCTCTTGGTTGTGAAAGCAAATACCTAAATTAATAACTTTATAATTTTAGATTTGTGGCACATATTATTTATTACCATAATTTTCTCAATTTTCGTTGCTTTTACCGTATAATTGATTACTTGTTGATTATAAATACTGTAAAGATTATCTCATTTTGTTGTAGTTCCCTTCGAAATTCATAGACTTAGTTTGGAAAGGAGAGGAAAGAAAATATTGAAGGAAGTAAAGATTTTTCTTTCTTTGATATTTTCTTCACTTTTTTTCAAGGGAAAATCCTTTTCCCTTAAAAGAATCCTCCTTTCCAAACAAAGAGTTAACACATGACTATGAAGAAATCTTATTCTATTTGCATGCACTTGGAAATATTTGCTTGCATATGGTTACTAAATGTGATGCAAGTGAGTCTTTGTTCTCCACTCAATTTTTCTCACAGGTAGGAATTTACTTATTTTAATTAAAAAATTATTTTACATATCTTAATTACATTTTTCTTAAGAGTTAACATTTTCTTTATTTGTAGGAAAATTTTGACCAGCAGGTTGTCCTCTGGAGTTGTATTGCGTGAAGAGCCTAAATTTGTAATTATGAATTCTTAATTTCTTTTCTTTTCTTTTCTTAAAAATATATTATTTTTCATATAAGGCTATGAATAACAATTGGATATCTCTTTTTAGGTGGTGATTGATAATGGAATTGTTCGAGTTACTTTATCCAAGCCTGGTGGTTTTGTCACTGGAATAAAATATAATGGAGTTGAGAATATACTAGAAACTAAAAATGATGATGAGGATCGTGGGTATGCATATATAAGCATTTATCCTTCTCATTTTGGTTAAAGCATTTTTAAACTTTTATTACTATATGTTAATAAGGTCGAGAGTTTGAATTTTATGGATAGAGAAAATACTGGCTGAAAATGCTTTATCCATTAGTTGACAGTCGGACGTGATCCAAATTTAGTACTAACTTAGTGGGATGGAAATCTGTCTTTTTAATATCAAGGAAAAAAAATCTCAATAGTATCTGACAATATTAATAAAATGAAAGTTTGAATTTTATGGATAGAGAAAATACTGGCTGAAAATGCTTTATCCATTAGTTGACAGTCGGACGTGATCCAAATTTAGTACTAACTTAGTGGGATGGAAATCTGTCTTTTTAATATCAAGGAAAAAAAATCTCAATAGTATCTGACAATATTAATAAAATGAACTTTCCATTTATTAGATTAGTTATATTTTACAAGATTCCATTTTTTTTTTAATTTTATACATATATTAATTACGTCCTAACAAAATTTTAATTCACTACGCAGTTATTGGGACATTGTTTGGTACAAACCAGGGGCTGAGGGCATTTTTGACAAGTAAATTGCCTCTTGAACAAGTAACTATATATAAATTGACTTATATACATGTTGCTTTTAAACTTGAATTGTATATGAATAATTTACAGGTTACACGGAGCAAATTTTAGTGTTATAACGAAAAATGAAGACCAAGTGGAAGTTTCTTTTAATAAAAAATGGAATATTTCCATGAAAGATAACATAGTTCCTCTAAACATCGACAAAAGGTATGATTTTCTCATGATAATTTTTTTTCCAAGAAAAAAGATTTATTGGTAGCACCAGTTTAGTTCAAATTATAACTAAATTGAAAATCTAATGAGGAGAATTGGATAAAAACTGGTCTGAAAGTTTTAATTTTTAACCAAACTGAAATTGAAAGCCTGAGTTCAATTCCTGACCCTATTTTCCATTGTTTTAACACGAATCAGTTTGAAACTATTGATGGAAATAATAGTTGTGAAAAAAAAGTAAATAAATAAATCACAGAAGACTGAATTGGGTCTCCTGGTTCTAATTGAAACCAAAATTGATAATCCTAAGAATAGTTTAGAAGATCAAATTCAGCCTTAGTTCTGATTGAATTTTTGTAGGTATATACTGCGGCGTGGGAGTTCAGGATTTTTCACTTATACTATAATGGAACGTTTAGAAGGGTGGCCTACTGTCAACATGGATCAAATTAGGATTGTTTTCAAACTACAAAATAAAATGTAACAAAAGTTATTATTCTAATTTACTTTTACTATCGAAGTGGTTTATGATACATATATAAGGTCTATAATCTTCAATGATTAGGTTCAACTATATGGCAGTATCAGACAACATACAAAGGATCATGCCTACATTTCAAGATCGTCAAAACAGTCAAGCTCTAGCATATCCTGAAGCTGTTCTCTTGACCAAAACAAGCAATCCAAAATTGCGTGGAGAGGTAAAGGTTTTGGATAGAGCTGTTCTCTTGACCAAAACAAGCAATCCAAAATTGCGTGGAGAGGTAAAGGTTTTGGATAGTATGATCATGATTCGATCTTAAACTTAATTTGAATTAGTCAAAATCAGTACCAAACAATGGTAAACGGTTTTTAATTTCAAATCGCAATAGAAATTGTGTATTTAAAATTCGATTTCCATTTTTCATTTTTTTAAACCAAAATTGGTGAATTTGATTTAAAATCTGCAGTTTGGATTTGCAAGTGAAAACAATATTTCAAAAAAAAAAAAACTACCAATTTGCTCTTTTATTTTATTATAATTCTCTAAAATAAATTTGAAGGCTTTTTGTTAAATTGGTTTAGAATTTTCATTAGTACTATTTATTATTATATTATTATTATTATTTATTCTAGTTATAATTCTCAAAATAGCTTTATAAAGCTGGAAAATTATTATCTAATTTGATTTTAAATTAGAATAAAAATGAAATCTACAATTCTAAAATCAAAACCGATCATTATGTTCATGCTTAATTTTGAATTTTGCTATTTTTAACTAAATAACGAAACTATATATTGTAAATAGACATATAGTTTCGCCTTGGTCTTCAACTTTTACTTTTTAAAATTAAACATATATGAATTCATATATTATGAGTTGAAATTTCCTTAAGGTTATGATATAATGGAATGTATTAGGTCGATGACAAGTATCAATATTCTATGGATCGAAAAGATAGCAAAGTGCATGGCTGGATATCACAAAATTCGGCAATGGGAATTTGGGTGATCCGACCTAGTGATGAGTTCTGTACAGGTGGACCCTTTAGACAGGAACTAACATCTCATGCTGGTCCATGTCTTTTATCTGTAAGTTTATACCATAAGCTTATTAATAAAAAAAGATTTTTTTTAAGTAAAAGCACAAATTAGAATAACATTATTTTACAATTTCACCATTAATTCATAAAACATAATTTTGAAATTATTGAAAATAATAAAACCTAAAATCAGGTTTATATGTTGACTAAACATACCATTAAGTTATAACTAATATTTCAAATATCATTTACACATATGCAGATGTTTACTAGTTCTCATTATTTGGGGAAGTATAAAAATACAAAATATGAAGAGCCATGGAAAATGGTTTTTGGGCCTGTTTACATTTATCTTAATTCCAACTCAACTGCTGATAAACAAGCACTTTGGAATGATGCTAAAAGACAGGTAGATTCTTAACACATGATGTTTTTTTTTTTTTTTTTTCACATGATGTTTTTTTTTTTTTTTTTTTTTTTGACCTAAATAAAAAATTATTAGCCACAACAGGAATGTAACGATATTTAATATATATTTTTTTTAATTTCATTTTTTTTTTTTTTTTTTGACCTAAATAAAAATATTTATTACCAACAGAATGTAACGATATTTAATATATATTTTTTTAATTTCATTAACTCTCATTATATGTTTTTTTCTCAAATATACACATTTCATGTCAATAACTAGATGTCAACGGAAGTTGAAAGTTGGCCATACAATTTTACTCAATCAAAAGATTTCTCTTATTCTGATAAACGAGGAACTGCCTCAGGCCAAATAACAATAATAAATGAGTATGTCATAAGATTTTTATTTATTATTATTTTTTGATTAAATACTAAAAATTTTTGAATATTGCAATTAATAATACATTTTCTACTTTTTTAATATTAATTAGAGGGAATTCCAAATTGGCAAATGGTGCTTATGTTGGCTTGGCAGCTCCAGGAGATGTAGATTCATGGCAATTTGAAACCAAGGTTAACCCTCCATAACCTTTATATCTTCTAATTATCTATGAAGCAAAAATTGGAAAATCTTACTTCTGATTACTAATTAACTATTTCATATATTTTCGCTTTTCTTATTTTCTTTTAGGGTTATCAATTCTGGACTCAAGCTGATAATGAGGGGTGTTTCACAATTGAAAATATTCGAGTTGGAACTTATAATTTGTATGCATGGGTTCCTGGATTTGTTGGAAACTACAAGTATGGTGAGAACATCACCATTACACCAGGTACCCTGTGCTTTCCTTCTTTTTTTTTTTTTCTTTAGTTCTTCAATTTAATTTTAAAAATTAATTAGTAATTAATTTGTAAATGTAGGAAGCAATATTAAATTGGGTGTCCTTAACTATGAATCTCCTAGAAATGGGCCAACCATATGGGAAATAGGGTATCCTGACCGATCCGCTGCTGAGTTCTTTGTGCCGGATCCAGAGTCAACACTTACAAACAAATTATTCATCAACCAACCAACTGAAAAGTTAGCTCTCATCAACAATTATCAATTCCAAATCTTGGCACGTAAACAATATTTTATTCCTTAACATATAACTTCTTTTTAATATGTAGGTTTAGGCAATACGGATTATGGGAACGATACACTAACTTATATCCTACAGAAGATCTTGTATACAATGTTGGCACTAGTAACTGCAGTCGAGATTGGTTTTTTATTCATGTACCAAGGTATTTTCTCTCATCATTGATTGAAAATTTTTATACTAAAGACAATACAATCCTTAAGATAACTTGAACGAAAACTCGTTGTTGCATTTCAGAAATACTGGGAAAGATGTGTACAAGCCAACCACATGGCAAATAACTTTCGAGCTCGAAACTGTGATTCAAACTGGAAATTATACATTGCAATTAGCCTTAGCATCTGCTACTGAAGCTGAAATACAGGTACTATAAATCCTCTCTTATTATTACTTGTAAACTTTTGCTAAATGGGAACTTAACTCAAACTCTATTCATAATTAAGGTGAGGTTCAACGATCCAAATGCCAAGCGACCTCTTTTCACAACAGGGCTAATAGGCAAGGACAATGCAATTGCAAGACATGGAATTCATGGTATCTACTGGTTTTATACCATTGATGTGCCTAATGATGTACTTGTTAATGGAAAAAATACAATTTATTTGACTCAGACAAGAGTTGCCGCAATTTTTCATGGTGTAATGTATGATTACATACGTTTGGAAGGGCCAACAAGTACCTAATTTGTTAGCTACAAATTTTTTTAAAGTCATGCTTACATACTTTTAAGCATGATTAATTCCAATATAAATGTAAATAAGTCGATTAGGTACGGCTTAATTGGTCTTTTCAGGTTTTATATAAGATATGGAGAGTAAGAAGTCTCAATTTTGAAGTATATCGTATACAGGGGTAGCCTACCCTCTAATGTTAATCTCTAATGATATTTTGGCTCATTAGGTCTCTAATAAAAAATAAAAATATTAATGCATGTGAAATTCCCCTCCATTTAATTTTGAATTTTTGTTTATTTACATTTTTTAATAAAACAAAATGAGAGATTATTCAATCCAGCATGTTTATCTACATCTCTATTCACATGATGATCAACTTTCACAATTTCATATCAAATAAGTACTTAGTTTCCCTTGTATGAACTCCATAAGAGGAAAAAAGTTCCATGTGTGCCCAAATAACAAGAATGATTCTATTGTATTGGATTTTGAATTGGGCTTTTAATTTACAGGTTAAAATAGGCAAATTTTAGTGTGATAACGGGGAAATATAAATCAAGTGGAAAATGTGATATTTCCATTATTAATGACATAGTTCCCTAAATATAGATAAGATTTACAAATTAATATCTAAGATTTAATCCCATTAAACTATTTAGTCATATTGTCTAAATAAATATCTTTTTAGAGGATAAATATCATAATATTTAACTATTTATTTTTTCACATTCAATATTGTGGTACTATTATTTGGTTTTTTATTTTACGACCAAAATAACACCCTTTAGAAGGAGGACTAAATGGTTTAACATAACTAAACTTTAAAAGATAATCAGGATATTTATTAAACAAGATGGAACCAAGCTATAATATTACCTTTTTTTTTTCACTTTGATTATTGGACTTAATCAACAAAATGGATCAGGCTCAAGCCTAAGCTGTTTCATGAGTGAGTTTGGATAGTACATAAAAATAGAAGCCTAAAAACTTATGTGGCATAATTTTAGAGTGTTAAAATGTTTATGTGGCAAAATGTTAATTTATTGAGTTACAAATAATTTTCATAATTTAAACAATTAGTTTATTATAATTAATAGACAACTTAATTAATATCATTAATAATATCTTCAGTTTTAAAAAAATTAATAATATCATTAATATTTTAAAAACTTTTATAATAGACAACTTAATTAATATCATTAATAATATCTTCAGTTTTAAAAAAATTAATAATATCATTAATATTTTAAAAACTTTTCACTTTCTTTTTTTTAAATAATTAACAATATCATTAATATTTATTTTCTTCATTTTCTTTTCTCTGCTGTTACAGAATTTGTGTAGATGCCTATTTCAATATAAATATAACTATAAATAAAAAAAATCATACTTTCAACAAAAAGAAATAGATTCTTTGCAAATAGTGTAACATTTTATTGATGTAAGCTTGATCAATATGATTTGGAAGGAATTACGAAATGTATTCAGTTTTTGATAATCAACGAACGTATGATTTTGTTATTTATAAATTATTCTATAACTATTAGATTAAAATTCATTTTCTAATATCATTATGCATGATAGAGAAATATTTTATGATATAATTGATGTTTATGTTTTTTTTGGGTGACGGTAAATTATTGTGATTTGTGTTGATGATATTAAGTTTGTTAATTTTTTAACTTTTCAAATATATATGGGTTTAGATTTAAATGACATGAAATATAAAATTCACGCTTTTAAATAAAATATATTTGAAATATTTCTAAGTAATTTATTTTAAAATGCAATTCATATTATTATAGTCCTATATTTAAAATTTTTTTGGAGGATCCAACAAACATAAAGTAATTGAAATACAGAAGCTGCAAAAAAAATTACATAAAGGAAAAATTAATAGAAAAACTAATCCAACCATCTTAGATGAAATACCTATTACATTTAAAATAAACACAAAGGGACAATTGAAATAAGCCAACAAAATTTAGAAACAACAATTACTATTATTTGCCTTTCGGTCTTTATGTCCATCTCAAAAAGCCAAATTATGAACCTAAGCCTTTTGTGTCAGCGATAAACACACAATCCAAAAATCAAAGGTGTAGAAAAAGCAAATATTAGCAAAAAAATACAACTAATGAACAATAAAATTTTAAGCATACCCAAAAGAAAAATAAATGGAATGACAAACTTATACTATGGAGAAATTTGAAAATCAGGTTTTAGCACCATACTATCCATTAAGAACATGATAAGAAAAGAGAAAAATATATGATTTATAAAACAACACATATATATAGAGATGAATATATGAAACATATGAACACAGAAAGCTATATATGTGTGTATGCGTAAAATTTATTCCTGAAAATTAAAAAATAAAATACAAAAATAGAAATCGTATTTACGATAAATAAGTGGATACAATCTCTAGTGTGAAATCCTCTAATACAAACAAAATTATCCACTGATTCTTCTCTTTATTGTTACGAACACAATTCAAGGGTCGGAACAATTTGATCTTGTACTATTCAATAGTCGAAAAGACTTAAAGTTGAATTGTGAGAGACTTTTTTGCAAGTGCACGAAATCACAAACAAGTAATTAATAAAGAGTGACTAGAGTATCGTTCACACGAGAATTGTATACCAAGTACCAAAATTGTGTTAACCTACTATTATTTAAACGACAATAAGGAGGATTATTATAAGAAGTTAAAATTTTTAAAAAAATAAATAAAAGAAAATAAAAAGAAATCAAGCAAAGAAAATAAAAAGAAATCAAGCAAGACAATTTGATTTAAAAGAAATCAAATGATAAAAGCTACTAGGGGATTTTGATTTCACTTAATTTTATCAATTTATTTTGATTAGTTTTTGATAATCAATTTTAATTGTTCAAGTAAGGGGAAATAACCCTAAAATACTAACAAAGTTCTCCCGATGTATTGTTTAGTTATTTTAACCTGGTCTTAAATTACCTATCTTCCAATAGCACAATCAAAAAATCAAACATGAATTAAACCATTAAGTTTTATGGTTTGTTTATGAATTCATAACCTAAGGTCGTTAACTTATGAAAATTCCCCATGAGTCAAACCATATATGTAACGCCCTAATTTTTCTATGTCTGAAATAGTAGTTTTACCGATCTGTGAATAGTACCACCGGTCCAGGAGTCGGTATTGTTTTAGTCCTGAAAAATTATTATATATATTTTATATTTTCTTTAATATTTTTGGAGCATGTATGCATGATTTTTATGGGTAGAAAGTAAATAATGAATATTTTTGGAGAATTTAAATAATATTAGTGAATAGTGAGTTATGGTGTTATATTAATTAAGGAAATTTGAGAAATTATTTTTATGGAGTAAAGGAGAGAGTTTTATGGAGATAAATAATATTTGAAGTAATTTAATTGGAGAATATTTGTAGCCATTAGATTAGATTACTATTGACTTAATCCTAGCCATTAAATTTTGAGAAAAGACCAAAACACCCTTAGTTGCTTTATAAAAGTCAACCCCAATTATTTGAGCAACCATTTCTCTTTTTCTTCTTCATATTAGGCATGTTCTTCTCCTCCTCCTTCTCTTTGTTTCCTTCACTTTCTACTTAGCTAAATCCACCAAAATTAACCCACCTAACTTGATTTAAGTTATAAATCCTAGAGAAGTAAGCTAGAGAAGTGATATTTTGTGACAAATTTCAAGGAATTTGGTGATTTTTCTACATGGATCAAGTAAGTGATTTATGATAATTTCATTATTTTTGGGTTTACAGTTTTCTTTTAGCATATACATGCTTAATCATGCTCCAATTTCTTTTTTTTTTTCTTTGTTTTGATTTTGAGTTTCTTACATGTAGAGGGTGGAGAGCCTTCTACCAAAGATAAGGGCAAGACCAAAGCTTAAGGAGCTTTAATTAAAGCTTACTATGAAATGATGTATGAAATGATTGAATTGTTGAACTTTGGTTGTATAAACATGCTCTAGGGTGATGTTTGATGAGTATTTAGTATGTGGTAGAAATCTCTACCTTGTATCTTTGACTTTCATGTTCTTTTTCATGATTAAAGTAAGCTGAAGTTGGAAAAACGTGTTATTGGGTGTGATCAAGGACTATTATTTTATCCTTTTGATTTTCCATCTATATCGGAGCCCTTCATGAAAGTTGTAGGTCTACTTCTTAACTTTCCAACCCATACTCTTGTGTCCAATTTGGATACATATAGCTCAACGTATGGCTGAAATACCCAAACTGACTATGTTATGCCAGGCCACATGCATCTCTGAATTGATTGCCCATTTTGACCACTATAATGGCAAGATTATGTTCTGAGTTCTTCATGAAAGTTTTTTTTTTTCCATGTTATCTTAAGACTTTTCTCTGGTTTTAGATTTTGTTTAATTTGAGTGTTTGGATGAGTAGAATTTTGATAAACATTTAAGACCTATAACTCAAAGTTTATGCCTGTAGAAACACAGAAAAAAGTCAAGTATTTTAATACTTGAAAATCTTTCTATGCTTGAATCATTTAGGTTTATTGGAATAAATGGTATGTATGAATGATATGTGGGATGAAAGTTCTCTTGATTATTGTATGTTTTTAGGATTTATTGACTAAAATAAGACATAAGTTTGAAAAGGTTGGTATGGATTATGTTTAATGATACCAAAGTTATATTGTACATATGTTATGTTATACTTAATCTTCCCATGAATAAAATTGTTGGAAAAATTTTGGGGAAAAGTGTGCAATTGGTTTGATTAATGCATGAGATAGTTTTAAATGAATACTTGGATGCACAGAGTTAAGTTAACATGCCTTTGATTGAAGGAGGAAATTTCCTCCCCTTGGTTTCATTAAGAGGGCCGAAAACCACCTAGGGTGGTAAGGCATACTTAATTTTCTTTACATGATATGTATATATATTATTAAGTATGATTGATTTTGATTAACCTTCATTATATTTAGAGTTTATGAAAAATGGAGGTATTAAAGTGTATGTGCTTTGATTTTAAATAAGAAAGTATTGATTTTTATTGGTAAGAAATTTACTTTATGATAAAATTCATTATTGGACTTGAAGAAAGCTTTAAAAAGAAAATTAATTATGAGAAATTTCCTATGTTAAAATAATTATTATTTAAGTATGGAAA